CCTCCCCACACATGATGGTGGCTGCATGATTCCAAGAGATTCCTGTAGGGCCTTCCCCTGCAGGTCTGGGCAGGGGCCAAGCCTGTCCTTGGCTCTCCAGACAAGCTGGCTGGATCCAGAGAGAGATAACTTCAGTCTTGGGGTTGAGAGCTAGGGGCCCTAGACTGGTTCTCCTAAGGAATAGATGGAATAAAATAAGCCAGGAAAGGAGATGGAGAAGAGAAAAGAAAGGTCAGAAAAACTGAAAGGAAGGAAGGCGTGGCAAGGAGTAGCTTACCCTGATGAGTGGAGGAAGGGCGAGTCGGTTGAGAGCTGAGAAGTGTAAGTTACAGCTGCAAGTTTGGAAACCGGTCCCCAGAAACAGAACTGTTTGTGTGTCCTACCTGATGAAGGCAGAAGCGGCCTGCAGGCATGCAGACTATTGAGGAAGAGGAGGAAGAGGCAGCAGGGGCAGATTATTCTTTCTAGAGCTCGGGGAGGGGAGGAAACAGATGTCATTCATACACGCAACACACAGAGCATGCAGTTGACTAGTGAATGCTCATGGGAGTTGGTGGTGGTTGCCCAAGGGGAAGGCCAGGTTGAGAGGAAAGGAAGGTTCTTTCGAATGTCAGAAATTTGATCATGTTTCTAGCCTAAGAAATAGAAGCTGATGGTGCGGGAGAGATTAAATGCCTGTCGGTCTGGATGATTAATGGTCCCACCCTAGAGTAGCACCATCTTGCTGGGAACTTTCTCAAAGGCTGCACAGAGGTGAAGGAAAGCCTAGGACCACGTGAGTGTGAGTAGGCGTCATTCTGAGTTACCAGCTAGAGGGAGAAACGGGACCAGAACTCAGAGAACAAAGCCAAATGCTACTGATTAACCAGGGAAGTAAGCTGAAGTTGCATCGAGCTGTGTGAGGATGGCGTGGAGTCTAGAGACTGAGAAGTGGTCAGCAACAGGAAGGTGGGTCCGATGGGCAGTTCAGGAGCAAACTCTGCAATCACTGTACTTTTTAACATATGCTGTTTATGTGCACCCTGGAAACTTCCTGGGCTAGGGAACAGTTCTCAAAGGTGAAAGAGCCTGACTGAGGAACTGACTCTGCAGTTCTTTCAGACCAACCTTGAAAAGGAAGTGTGGCCTGGCTTTCTCTAAGACATGGATGTCAGATCTATGAATGAGAGACGGTTCTGGAAGACTGAAATAGAGAGGATATAAGTTCAATGAATGATCAGATAATTTTAAAAAATCTTTTCAGTAAATATGAGGAGAGGTTATTTGAGGAGAAGAGGGGGATAGGGTGGGGCTTAGGGATGGAGGAGAATGGAAAAGATTTGGAATGATCTCTGAAAGGAACCAGCCAGGATTAATAGAAGTTTTGCCAGGCAGTATTGGAAGATCAGCTATAATTACATAGCGTACATTTGTATGGAAACCAATTGGCATCACTAAATGACTTTTACCAGCATTTCTCAGGCGATTAAGAGTGGAAACATGGACAAAGGACTTTGAGGTTTGACATGGCCTGGACTCTGGTAATTCAAATGCTCCTCAGGTCTAGGGGCTTCAGGGATGAGCTGGATGAGGAATTTTTCTCCTGCTGATAGGGTACAATAGAAATGACTAACCTCAAAGGTGTAGAGAGGGTAAGGAGGCAAATATTGCTTAAAGGAAGTTGATAACCTAGGAAAATAGAGAGTTATTAAGTAACTAGTGGCACCTAGGAAGAAATTAAAGATTATGCGGGTGAGTAAATGGGACAGCTGAAAGGTCAGAGGATTGTGGCCTGAAGGGAGAATTTCCAAGTTGAGGATTTTAGAAGCAGAGCAAACACATGCTGGACAAAGATGAGGGCCAGGCTGTGACTGTGCTGCTAAGAAGATGAAACAAAGTGGAAGCAGAGCCTGTGGGTGTTGAAGTCAAGAAATGTGCAGCCAGAATGGATATTGAAAGGAAGGCAAACAAGGATGTTGAAGCTACTGAGGAGACAGAATGTGCCCAAAGTCAGCAGAGAAACTGTTGATCCAAAGGCAAAAGCCTCAAAGAAAATGGGCAACTAAATTGGGTTCTAGATACTTGGGGAAGATGTGCTATTCCTGAATGCACTGCCTTAGAAGAGGAGGGCGGGCAGACGTAGACAGTCAATTGGGACAAATAGTGGTCTGGAAGTGGTCTTGAAACAGGGAGAGAGGTGTTCTGGACGTTGGGTTGTTGGAGCAGAATGGCCTTCACCTGAGATGACTAGGGAGGATGTGTCATGGTGTGAAAGTCAGGATTAGCTAATAAAGGAGAAGCTGAGAATGTAGGGTAGTTGAATCCTATGAAGACACATGGTAGCAGTTACTAGTGGCTGGAGGCCATGCCCAGCCTGGGGATGGGGAAGCGGAGCTGCACTAGGATAAGACTGTTGGAGGCTGACTTTGAGTTCAGGGTGTGGGACAATATTTATTAATGACAAAGACAAAGGGTGATGATAATGAAAAGTAGAGGTCATGGTAACAGATATAAGCTGGGAGAGAGTAAATAAAGTTTTGTTATCAATGGAGTATATGATGTTAAGCAGCCCCAGGTTTCTAATGAAAACTTGGGTGTGTCCAACTGGAACGCCCACTTGGAGTGTCAGTGTGACCAATTGGAGTGCTGGCATGACCAATTGGAATGGCTATTGGAACTTTAGTTAGAGACCAATTAGAACATTCCCCTCTTCAGCTGGAACACTGGTGTGACCAGTTACAGCCTGGCAGTAAAAATAGCTAGAGGGGTTTTGGCAATGATCAAAGTAGATCTTAGCTTTCAAGAGGGATACATTCTGAGGTGTTTTTTTAATCCCACCCAGGCAATAGCTTGAATGCTGGTTAGTAGACAAACTGCATGAATGTCATCTTAAGATATTCAAGCAGTCAACAGGGACTGTGTTTTTAACAATCATATCCCTAGGCCTTGGCATCTGGTAGATATTTAAAAACATGTTTTTGAATAAGTGATTGAAGTCACATGGAAAATATTTTCTATTCTCAGCGTTCCAGAGCAATGTTACTATCTCATGGGCCTTGGTTTGTAGACTTGCTCCTTCCTACCTTGGTGTTGGTGGTTGGGAGCTCACATGCACACTGTAGTCCATCTCTAGCTGTGTATAGAGCTATAACATAGGACTTTAATACCAACGACAACCCTGGCTTCAACTTCTTTTCCTACTAGCTTTAGTTTTTATGATTTATTTTTTTAACTTGGATTGTCTTTTGTGCAAATTGCCTCAAATAATTTTTGGAATAAGCAGGTTGATAAAAGGATAGGGGGATAAACCTAAAATTATGAGGTGATAGAGGCAGAGAGGAGGTAGGCAAGAGGAAGGAGGCATGAGGCGCGAGTAGCTGGTGTGGGGGAGGGTTACATCTTAAGGTGCTTGACCCAGAGATGCCATCGTCTTCATCCAGAGTTCTGCACGCCCTTAACGCCAGGCCCTAGTAAGTAGTATGTACTCAACAAAATCTGGTCAGTTTGAGTGGGGCTCAGTGAATATTTGTTGATTGCCCTATTTCGGCATGTGGTTTTTTTCTAATTTCCCTTAAAATTCTTGGACTTCTTCCTCTGTTTGGGAAACAGTGTGGTACATTAGACAGAAATAAGTTTGGAGTCAGCCGACCTTGGTTTGAAAACTAACTCTGTTGTTGATTGTCGTGTGTCCTTGGCCAAGACAGGTCAATCTCTGGGCCTGTTTCCTCATCTGTAAAATTGGGATAATAATATTTGCTGCCAAATCCCTAGGAGGGTTTATGGAGAGGATGTATGTAAAGTACCCAGCAGTGTCTGGCACAGAGGAGACACTCAGAGAA